GCTGCTCACAGAAGTTGGCTGCTTTGGGCTACTTTTGCACGTGCCTAGAGCTAGTCCTGCTTATGGCACAGTAAAAAGTCACCTATAACAAGATCACAAAATCTTTCCTACTGAAGAACATGTTGCCTGGGGAAAAAAAAGTAAATTGAGCGTGCTTCCTTGAGTCTCTTTTTTGAAGGATAATTTTAAACCATCTCTTTCCTTGCCTAGTAACTTCTGAAGAATGTTGCATTCCATGTGAGTCAGCATATTGGCCTCCTTCAGTAAATCAGAATTGACCTGCCACGATGTTAGGTCCAAAATGAATCGTGACTACTCCCCACTTCCTTGTGGTCAGCAGCTTGGTATGTTTTTCATTTACAAAGCCAAGAAAAACAAGCTAGTTGCTGACCTCTCTAATTTCAGAAAGGACATCCAGATGGGGTTTTTGGATCCCTATTTGTACAATTTTTGGAAGATACTTCAGTTGGCAGATTTGTGCAACTGTAAGATCATTGTCTATGAAATAGACAATCTTGGTTCCTTTATGTGGTGGAACAAATCAAATTCCATTTTGATGCAGAAAAAAAATCTAGCTTATAGATATAAGAGCAAAGAGTGTAGGAAGTGGCTCTACTCCCAAGAGACTCTGTCCTTAAGAGCAGTGGCTCTAAAAACATGTAGTGGTATATGGTGAATAAAGTCTGTGTGAACACCTGCTGTGATCAGGGGGAAAAAAATGCTATTTTAGATTCCCCTGGGATGTGTGACTAGGAAGCAGTGGACAGGAGATGACTTTATGACTTCACTGATGAGTGGAGTGTTTCCCATGTCGCATTTTTTCCCGCTTTCCACTTTAAAAAAAGGATGTGGTGAAACTGAAACCGAAACAGAAATGCTGCAGAAAGCATCAGAAAGGAGAGAAAGTAAGTGATTTGTGGTGCAAGATGTGAAAGCCATCTGAGGTTAATAGAAAGAAGGTTTAGAGGTGCCCCTTGGTGACAGTGAAGGAGAATCTCTGTAGTGTGAAGATGCCACCTGTCAGAGGAAAGAGAAGGAGCTGGTGACAACACCGGAGAGTGAGAAATGTAAAGTAGAGCAGAGAATACGGCACTGTGGGAAGTGGACGTTCAATCAAAGACAGTGGTGGATTCTCCATCTCTTGGTATCTTCAAGGCAGGATGTCTTTCTGGAAGGCAGTAAAATATGAGTCTAAGTTTAAGTAAAATATGAGTTATTGAGGGTCACGGGCGAGAGTCCTGGGGCTAATGTTACTTAGGAGTTGAAGCTAGCTGTAAATTGTCTTTCCGTGCCTTAAAATCTGTGAAGTTTAGGGTAAATGGGTTCCAAAATGTTGGGGAGAAAGCTTAATTTTCTTCACTGGACTTTACGATGTAAAAAATTATACTTTTGTTTTATTGAATTGCATGTTTTCTTATCTTTAAAAAACATTTGAAATTATGTATTGCAAACTGATTTCACAAAAACTGAAGTGGTATTTGAACGATGGTCATGATTTTGTTCTATCACTCACACTGAGCTTTCTTACGTTGTAAAATGTAGTATCGCCAATGCAGCGAATGGGTGTGGAGTATGCCCTGCCAATGCTTATCGGAACAAACTGTATTCACCTAAACAAATCGACAGCAAATTTCTACCACTCCAGTTGTTTTAAAAAGCCACAGTTAAAATTTTATGGATGCTGAAATAATACTAAAAATGGTTTCATGCAGTCCATTTCATTCTTCTAGAACAGAATTGGGTCAGTATAGCAGTTATATTTTTAGTGGCAATCCAGTTAACAAATTCCAGTAGTAAAATATAATGCGTGCTATTATCCAGATGCTAAAGAAATGGTATAATCTAACAGCGTACTTGATTTGAAAGTGTTCATGAAAAATGAACCTATTTGATTTTGAAAAAGTGAGTAACCTTTAAAACAGCGTGAAATTAAAGGCATAGACGGTGGTTTTGCATCTTAAGCAAGAAAAAGCAAACACTTTGTACCGATGGTAGGATTTTTCAGTTTTAATCATGATTTTTTTCAGTTTATCCTGATTTTTAAACTATTTTTACAGTTACTTTTTTTCTATAAGAAAACAAGTGATACTCACATGAATAGTGTTTCCTAGTAGTTCTAAAACAAGATGTAGGTGTTGCTTAATGGAAATTATACGGACTCAGAAAATAGCAAGTAATATAAAATCACTGCAGTATTTATTGACTAAAAAGTATTTTTAAGCATGATATGGGAGAAGTGCATATAGCAAATTAGTGTATGAAAGTGCATGGTATTGTTAGTGAGTTCAGCAAAGCTATGTTATGTGCCACATTGAAAGTAAAGATGCATTTTCTTTGTTATAACCTCATACCTGCATTTTATAAGATCTTCTACATTAGGGTGAAAATAGCTTTGTCAGTCACATTTAACTAAAAGCTCTAAAGAATTAGGTTTTTCTCTCAGTGTCTATCTAACTTGAGCCTGAGTGATTCTAAATGTAATACAATATGATACATTTTACACACTTGCAAAAACATTTTATTACAAATTACATTGTATGGTACGGTATAACACAATATGTAATTTTAAGCAAGACTATATGTATGTTAGCTTTTCCAGTTTTAAAAAAATGTAAAAAATTAAAAATTTGCAACTTCTTAAGAAAATAGCCTGGACATGTACAGAACACGCCGTGAGAACTTCCACTTTTAGCTCTTACATGTTTCACCAGTGAATTTTCCTCTGTCATTTTAAATGATTACAGAATATTGGTCTCTGTATAAATCAGTAACTGCACATAAAAACAGTTCACTTTTGTGTCAGAGTCCCTGCACACTAGAACGTTTAGAATAGGTTTATGGGAAAAGCTACTGATTCAGTGACACTAACGATTTGTAATTGATTGCCATTGAGAAATGCTTGATTTAATTTCTTTAAAGAAGACCCAAACACTAGGCATGTTAGCATGGATGAGTTCATTATATTAACACTATTTTAAAATAATGCTGAATACTGTTGTATTTTTCTTGTTATGTCTGTATTTGATATCTCTTTCTGTTTAGGAAAAAAATATTTTCTTGTTTGGAAATACTTGGGTTTCTAAAACACGTAGGGTGGACTGTCTTGTAAACAGTTTTATATTTTCAATTAAAAACGGTATAAAATACATGAAACATATTTTTTCTACATGAAACAATTGCACTTCCTTCCTGGTTACACAGGATCACCTTTTCTAATCCTTCAGCTTTCACAAAAGTATTTCAGGATATTGTTTGCTTATGTACAAGAACTCGTAGCCCTCTTGAAGTTTCACTGCAAAGGTGACTTTTTTTCATTAAAGCATGCTGAAATTCATTTTGAGGTGGACACAGACATCTTCTGCATTTCTGTTCTCATTTTAACTTCCTTTTCTTGCTCTTTGCTTTGGGGAGGGGGGAAAAAAGTTATTTTCCTCAAGTTTTCTTGCAGTAATGGATTTGATGCTGAGGAATAATAGTATAAATGAAAACACTTCCAATTTTTTAGTATGTGCAAACTCTTCTGCTAATGATTACATTTCTTCCACCTAAAGGCTGAAGAATTTGTATCTTATGGATGCTGCAGGTTATGCAATTTCAAACCAATTCTTAGGAAACCAGTTTGTCACATGACATTGTATGACTCAAATTATCTTAAATCCTTAAAGAAAAAAAAAAGACAACAAGATTCCCACTCCCTGGCCTCTTCTAGCATGAGAAATTTTTCCACAAACGGTCATTCTAGATGCAACTTTAATGACAGTAGCAAATACGTAAAGGAAAAAGTTGCAGTTTATAATTCAGAGCAAAATTTTAAGTGTCATTTAAAAAAAAAAAAGGGAAAAAACTGATTAACATATCTTCCCTAAGTATGTTGGTTAGCAAGTACAATTAATAGATCGAGATATAAATTATAACATGGTGTGAAACCCATCTGAGAAGCTTAGTAAATAGATAGCATTTAAAATTACTGCTCCTTCCAAACAGATTTCAAAGTGTGATGCATGCTATAAATTTTCTGGTGCCTTCTGCAATAGTGTAAAGGTTTTCCAAAGACTGCGTTACAAAAAGATATTAAATTATGGCAAATGCCAACAATCCGTAGAGCTTTTGCTGTTCTGTTTGTGGGGTTGGTGTTTTTTTTCTTCTGTGCCAGAATGTGTCATTTAGATGTTCTGGGTACCAAAAGACTAAAAGTGAGATCTAGGACAGATGATTGTCCCCTAACCTTGACCCTGTCAGCTTGGTGTGGTTAAAGGCTTGTCCTGACTTCGGGAGGTTTCTAGCTGCTCACCCGCTGGAGATGAGCAGCAAACTTGTTCGTCTGGAGATGAGGACATAGCTAAATTAGAAATGACGGTGCATTGTCGAAATGTGATAGCTTGGTTGAAGTCTACATTGCATGAAGGCAAATATACATATAGTCACATCTTAGAGATTATTCATGGTCTTGGACCACGTGAAAAATTGTGCTTTGTCCAGGATATATGTGCTGAAAACTGCACTCCCCGATCAACATGGATTTGTAAAACTGAAGACCATTGCAAACATAAGGCTTGCTTGCTTTTTTTTTTCCCCTCGTTGTTGTTTAAAGACAATAAACCAAACCCCCAAAAGGCTTTAAAACAATAGTGATATTTAGCTGTGTACAGGATGACAGCCTACAATTTAACAGCTTAGAATGTGACGCTTTCAGATCTAAGGGGGGGAAATAGTTTTACTTTCCATCTTTGTACAAATTTTGATTCAGGTTTTACATCCCACATTGGTGAACTGCAAATAAAAGTTGGCAAGGTATTATCTAACACCTTGCTTCTGGACATTAGTTTATAGGTACAAAGGCCTTTTTGGTACATACGGTGAGAACTGAATGCTGCCAGCATGGTCAGAACTACATTGGCCGGTAACACTGATCAGTCTACCAAGATCCTGTTATAGATGATGGATAGAACTCCAAATATTTTTCGAAGAAGGCCTTGAACTCCACATGTGATGGACTTGGGTTAAAGGAACCAGAGTTTCCATCTTCCATGCTTTTTTGATTCAGTTTTGGATTTTTGCTTGGGAGTGGAGGAGTAGCTCTCCTGAGAATAAGGCAAAGGTGCAACCTGAGTTTCCTCAATAGGATGAAGTTTTCTCAAAACTGGCTGTAGTTTATCTTCTTGCTGCTTAAAATCCAATTCCACACTAAAAACGGCAAGAAAAAAGCAATTAGTTACTAATTATGATGACAGAAAGATTTAAATTAAGCCAACATCTGACACCAGTGTACAAGTGCTTAATTTATTAAATTCAAATACAAAATAAATGTTTAAATCAGATCTCCGGATTTCTTGCACTAGAAGTGAAAGGGATGGGGGGAAGAGGAAGGTCAAAAAAGGACATACCGCAAAAGAGAAATAGGAATGGGATTGTGCAAACTTCTCCTTCCTGTTTAGGAGGGCCTTGAGGATTACGGTAGAAGTGCTGTGAAGTGATTGAAAACTAGAAATACTACTTTTTCCCTCATCTCTGTGGAGAAATGCTCTTTCAGAGGGCTCCCAGGCTCCGTTCTCCCTCCTGTCTGCATGCTCTGGGAGGTTTGGGTGGCAGCCAGGCATGTGCATCCTTCTGCTTTTGAGAAAAGCTGATGGGTTGGCCACCAGCAGCAAGGCTGTCGTGGCAGTTTCTTTACCTTAGCTGTGTCTCTTGCAAGTTTTACCATGGGTTAGATTAGTTTCACCGAACTGCTGTCATATGTATATACTCATATACACATGTGGAAAAAATAAATAAATTAAAAAACAATTCTCTTTTACAGTGCAATCCTTTAGCATATGCTGACAACATAAACTTAGTCCTATAATGAGGATAACAACATAAAATCTACTTGGCCCCTGCTGTAAATGACTGCTCAGACAAAAATATCTAATGGTCTAGATCCATTTATTTAGCTGACCAGATCTGTAGGTAAAATGAAAGAACCTGTTTCAGTTGCAGCTAGTGTGTACTTGCTTGTTCCATTGCTACTAAAATTTAATAGAAATAAGGGAAATACTCATTTAAACTGTAAGCTTGCATACAAAAAAAATACTGAAGCTCTAAAATACACCTTCTGAATTCTAAACACTGTGTTGGCTACAAAATCCTACCAGCAATTAAGAAACATAATAAAGATGGAAATTATAACCCTTATTTCGACAGTGTGCTACAGATCATTTCAAGTTCACCTTATAAAACAAAGGAACCACATTATAAACTTCAGCAAAAGGTTAGTTCTGTCTGATACTCGAAACCGAATCTAGGCCACTTAGAAATACCCTGAGACTCGATGGTTTCAGTTGCATTTGGTACAGCAGCTTGTGGACAAGTTCTGCACCGAGTCTTTTCATCCTGTCTCGTGCATTACGCTGCAGTGTGGCACCTGGATATCAGAGGATGAATTTAGAAGACAGGGTGAAATTAAGGGAATTTAGGCACTGGGGTTAATTTATTTCTTCCCTACCTTTTGCTTGATATTTTAAACCTAACAGTTAATGATTGAGGTGAAGATTGTGTGTGAATGCATCTGTTGGGGCACTTGAGGGGTTGCCCCCTTTCACCTCTACTGCTGAGGTTTCTTGGGCTTTCCATTGACTACTTTTGCTACTTCAGCATTGCATGAATATGAAGTTATTGTTCCTGGACATCAGTTCAGTTTTAATAAGTGTTAAATATGTTTTCTGAGTTATTTCTGCCATTGCTTGTTTGGCGTAAACGACTAGAGAAGTTAGGTCTACTTTTTCAGGCCTCATGCCCCTAGTGTAGTTCATCTAAAAAGAGATTTTTAAACTTTTGTTACTGCTACTCCCGTCTAGCTTAGGGAGAGTGGCACCCCACCTTGAATGCATACAAGTATGCAGTACAAAACACCAGAAATCATTTCAGAGGAAATTCTCCAAGTAAGCTGGAATAACAGAAGTCACAGGAAATTTTGGTGAACTTCAGTGACACAGCCTTTGCAAATTGAGCACCTAATACCATCTGCTGATTTAGGTGGATTTTATTTTCCTCTTAGGGTGGAGGAGAGGGAATCAAAGATGCTAAGAGAAGTTTGGGATATTTTTGTGCTTTGGTGTTTCGGAGAGCTGAAGAGTCTGTCTATAAGGACTTCCAGTGAAGCCCTGGAAAGGTGTAAGGTCTTTTTTTGCATCTGGCTGTGCCTAGTTTGGTGTTTGGTTGGTTTTGCATCTGGCTGTGCCTAGTTTAACCATTAAATACATTCTGAGCAAAAGTGTCAGCATTTCAGTGATTTGGAGTGATTTGGATAAACTTTCTAATAGTGGAGGAGAGAAATACATTAGGTAAGAGTTCAAAGATTCAAAATATTTTCCCCACCTCCATGTTGTTAAGCAGTAAAAAGACATTCCAGATTGAAGAAGATAATTTTTAAAATTTCAGCTATATGCTAGAACTATACCTATGAATACTGGATTTGCAGGAGACAGCTGTGTTGGGTATCCTGTTACTGCAGAAGCACACTGCAAGCCTACTTGCAGTGTTTAATCTAATATCCATCCTTGTTAATGAAAGAACAATGCCGTCTTCAACTTGGTAACATGTTCTTGTTTGTAGTTTAGCTAGCAAAAAGCAGTTGATTAGATAACTGTGGCATTAATTTTGTGGTAAGATTGGGATATTGGTTGATTGTGAATTCCCCACCACATAAATGCTTTCAGTAATACAGTGGGAGAATCTCGGCATGAAATAGATTCTTCTCCAAGAGCTCTCTAAATCTCATTTAAAGTGGCATGCAAATCTGTGCAGAATTTGGCACATATTATCGTTGGTTTGTTTCTCAGTATAAATTTTGAGGGGGGGGAAAGGCATTTCAGCTCTGGCATTGGCAGAGCTCATTTTTACTTCTTTCAAAATGTTATTCTTGAAGGGGAGCTCTCTTAAGAGCTTGAAATTGAGGTAAAAGATAAGTTGTTTTAAAAAAACCTTGCCAAACAGAATTTTTCATAATCAATTTCTGTTAAAGATAGTTCTCAAGAGAAGAAAATCTTCATTCTAGTCCATATGACAAAAACCATGTTACTGTCATTTTCTACTGCATAAAACCATTTGCAGCACAGTTCAGGCTGTCTTTCATCTATTTACATCAAAATGAAATATTTTGCTTCAGAAGAGTATAAAGAGGATGAATGAAAACATATTATTTCAGCATGAAATAATAACTGTGAATTTTGCATAATAGTTGATTGTTGTTTATCAAGATCAATTTATCTAGCTTTGTAGCTTTTTAATGTAACCATTCCTTTCAGGCAAACAATTTGTTTCCTTGCAAACTTAGGTTTTAGTGTATACCTGTTTGCTGCAGTAATAAGACAAACCCCCTTATTCTGTAATTTTTCATGTATCTTTCTAAATTAGCTATAGCTGACTTTATTTTTGGTCTTTAACTTGATATTGAACATATGAAATACTATTAAATTCAGCAAGTGTTACATATTTGTATGACTTCTTTATGTTTTTGTTACAGAGCTGCAGATCTTTCCAATTCTTGCATTTGTGAACTTGATTTTGTCACCTGTCACAGCTCTGACAATTTGGTTTTGCTTAGTGCTATTTTTGTATCCTAAGTATCTATAGGTTTCCTCTCAAAATGACCTTTTCTTGAAATATTCTCTATGCCTTGTGGCTCTTTTCACTTTCAGACTTTGTCTGTTTTGGTCTCTTCTTTAAGCCTCCTCATGATAACTCCATAAACTTAATTAGTGAGGACTGTATGTTCTTCTAGCATTATGCATGATGGAGATTATAATTACTCGCTTCAGAAGCATTTTTCCTTAGATGAAATAATAGTATTTTTCAATAGACTGACAATTGTGAATACAAAACCAAGACATGAATCTAAATATTATATAATGCTAGCACCAAAAACATTTGCGTGACACTTCAGATTAGGACATACTAAAGGTTCACTTACCTACAATATTGCCAAATTTGGAACACTGGGTTGGAGTTTCTCCAGGTTCAATGCCTGACTTAAATTTTTCCTGTGCATGAAACTCCAGTGCAAATAGATAGGCTGTTTTTGTGAACAACTATAAGCAGTAAAATTATGTCTGTAATAGATATTCTGGTTTTCTGCGTTTTCTCCCCCAAATAACTGCATACTTAGAAGGTTTACAACAGAAACTTTGCGTTTTAGGGCAGTTGCCTGTGTATCAGTGTTTGCATAGATGTCATTCCCATGAAAATTTGGCCAAATATAATCAAATAACAGACCTTTGAGAATTTTATTTTGATGTGCTCATTAAACACAGGCGAGAACTTTGTAATTAAAATCTCTGAAATTCCTTCACAGTGAGACAGGTCTAGTCCAGGACTCATCAAAAATCTCTTTGCAACTGCAGCTCTAAGTTACATTAGTCTGTGCTTGGCTGAGCCCCAGAGCGGAGGATCCCGAGCCTGCTTTTTCTGTCATCTTGTTTTCTGCTAGGGACTGATACCAGTGCAAAGGGAACCCAAAATGAGTTTTTTTAAAAAATTTTTTTTTTCCTTCCTTCCTTTCCCTTTTCCCAGATCCTGGTATTATTTATTGCACAGCATGGATGTGCACTAAACTGAGGGAGGAGCCTAGTGGAAATGTGAATCATGATCCAATTTTGTCCCTAGGAAGTACCATTGACTTGCTATGGAGGTTGGGTTTATAGCGAATCAGGAAAAGCGTTGCAAAAAGGTAGAGGGTAACAGGAGGGCAGTTGAATGCTGCCTTGAAAACTATTTTTATACACAACTGTTGATTTTGGAATTGAAGTCAGTGGGAACCTCCGTGAGGTTTTTCTGTTTGGTTTGCTTTGGGCTTAGTGTCCCCCAGCCTTTGCTTTTTGTGTTTGTGAAATGGAGTTACTGTGTTGGGAAAACAATGAAGACTTGCATACCGTAGTAACGAGTACCCCAGTACAAACTTGAAACAAAACTATTTTCTGTGCAGAATTTGAATTGTATTCAGGAAACAAACAGAAACAAAATATATTGAATAGCTGCTCATCAGTGAAGGACTGTGCGCTTGGTGCCTGAAGCCCTTATGGGAGAGGAGTAAAGAACTGCCTGACTTCCTAATTGAGCACTCACGGTGCAGTAGCACTGATCAGCGCAGGGTTGGTTTGGCCTCCAGCCATTCTTGGAGGCCCTGAAAACATCTCAGAGGTGCTTTGGGG